GGTGGGCAGAAGTCGCGCGGAAGAGGGACTTGGGTCTGAGTTCGCCTTCCTCTCTTGCTGGACCGTGGTGGTGGGTTTTCCCTTCAGAGTTCGCTCCCAACGAGGGGCCCCGCCTAAACCGAAACAAGCACCAAGTTTCCGACCAGCCTCCCGTCATGCGTAGTAGTGTATGTTAGGGTCAGTGTGTGTAAGTTAGGGGTGAGGAAATAACAAAGAAGAGAAAGGAAAGATCGCGCACAGCCCGTGACCTGTTTGTAAGGGTAGCCCCCCAGCATTCGCTTGTTGTTGGCGGGAGAAAGCACAGAAAACTCCCGATCAGAATAGCCGTCCGTTAGGTTTCTCACCCAGCCCGTTTGAATTCGACCGAGACCGCGTAGCTAGTGCGGAAAAGGCACGAGCGCGAAAGAGGTTCGCCCAGGCCGGAGGGCTTAAAAAGGACTTATGCGTTATTGGTATCAGGGACTCTCACCTAAGGAGCAAGGAACTCGATTGCAGATGCGTCGTAGTGAGTGGCTACAATGCCATTGAAGATCTGTTCCTATCAGGGTCGCTGGACATTGCAGGCGCGTTTGGTTTTATGATAAACATCGCAGCAGATCTTGCCTATGCATTGTGTTGTTTGTGTTACGTTGATTAGCTGCGCTAATTAATGGTGCACCGTCGCATGAAGCTCTGTTTGGTAGCTTTCGATGATACTGAGTAGTCGAACATCACAAGTTGCGGAGGGCTGATGGAAGTTGCGTTAGCGGTTTTGGGAGTGGACTGTCATTGGTAGAGCATGCCACGACGATTTTCCAACGCAGCCGTCCCGAACATTTCACTCAAATAGTGAACTTGAGGCCTCCGGGCCGGGGCCGGGGCCCGCAGCCTTTCATTTCTCCATTAGTGCGCCCCGCCGCGTTGCCACCGCCGCTCTCACACGGGAAGTGCCCTAAGGACGAGGAAACGGACGAAAGTTTCATCAGAACCTTCATTAATCTTTCTGGGAGATCTTTTTCTCAGCCTCATCCGTTTCTTGCTTTCCCCAGAACATCGTGTTGCTCGTATCTCCCCCTTCGTTCTTATTTACGATTCTCATTCTATCGTGGATCCTCTGCAATGAAACGAAGAGAGCGTCAGAGCGTTGGTCGACAAGAAGTTTCATTTCATGTAGAATTCGCTTCTGTTTTAACCTTTGATAATAAAAGAGCACATCGTATTGAAAAGATGGGTTAATAAAGACAAAGTACTGTAAAAACTGTATCTTCATTAAGATTTATGATGATAATTTTACTCAACTACGATTTACATTGATAAATCTACCTAATGATAACATTTATAATATTAAGTTAAAATTATAAAAATATCAGTTCACAGAATATTTATTATGGTTATTTTTAAATCAAATGCTTATTTTAATTTGATAACATTTGTTTGAAAATCTAAAATAAATATACCATTGTCGATTTCACCCGATAAGTAACATATTTAACCTAGTTATTCTTGAATTAAGGGAAGAAACTTGTAGAGAAGATAATTTGTTGTAGTAAAATTTCCATAAATATAGTTCACATGGCAGCCGGTAGAGTGAGTACAGTGAAATACTTTGTTTTCGAGCGCGAAATAAACGGTGCGATTTAGGATAAAACTGTCCCCTTAACTGATGACATTTTTCTTTTTTAAGAATTAACAGCTGACGCTCCATCCCTTACGGATGGGGGAAGAATACATTACCCAAAGGGATACGGTCATTTGCGATGTTCAAATGTTTTACAATCTGTCAAGAGTGGCGTATACCAACTGCAAGCCGGCTGCTCTGATCAGTGGTTGCCCGTGGTTTCTCCGATCAACACCAGGCGAATGCCGGAGCAGTTTCCTAACAAACAGGCCACGGACTGCGCATGATCTTTTCTACCTCTTTCCCTCCTATTCTCACCCCTTACACACTTACAATAACATGCCCTACACTACCACATATGCCGGGAACTTACAGTTTGTTCCAGCTGGGGCAGTGCCCCACTGGTGGGAGATACCTGGTAGGAAAAACCGCGCTAGTTGACGGTAGGTCGGCGTCGGATCTTGCCATACATCGGGGAAAGGTCACCGCCCCCACCCGAGCAAAAACACGCACTACAATTGCAGGATTCATGATTTTAGTAGTTGTCGCGTCCGCAATCACTAACAATCAGTCAATGAATCAACCGACTGCATCCCGCGGTCGTCTTTTCCTACGCCTTCTACCTACCTTCCCAAAAAGGATAGCCCGACTACATCCCTTTCTGATTTCCTCCTTAGTATGAAAATTGATTTCTACATTTCCCGTGCTCTGATTAGAAACACATTGATCGATTATAATTCATACAGTTCTGGTTTTTTTTCAAGAAACATTTACACGTTCTTTTTGGAGCACTGCCAACGTAGACAACCATCGTTTAAAAGTTTGTGGAAACAAAACATGAAATCACCTATCACGAACATCTTTTTACCTCCCTGGCTTAACATACACAATTCCGATGATTCCGACAAGTTCACCTGCGTTGGACGTTTCCTCTGCGCGGGTGCGTGAGCAACTTCTGCATGAATGCGAACTCAACAAAAATGTTGGCTCCCACCCATACACCGGACGAGCGAAAGGGCGCGGAGTCGGGCTGCGCCGTCTCAGATGACGCCAAGCGCGGGGGCGAGGGCTGCAGTCGGGCAGTGGCCTGGGGGGGGGGCGGTCGCGGTCTGGCGCGCGCGGGGCCGGAAGGCCGCCCCAGGCGCCAAGGCCGCCGCCGCCGCCGGCGGAAGCCAGACCGCCTCCCGCCACCGGAAAAGGAGGGGGCTTCTCTCACCGCACACTTTTTGGGGCCCCCGAAATGGGTGCGCTGCCGACAGATCGCGAGGCGGCCGCTTTCCCGAAGGGCGATGAGGTACTGACAGGTGATAATGAACGCGTCCCTTTGCGCAGATGGATACACAACCTATTGATGGAACCTTTTAGGAGAATATTCACGAACAAATATACGTTTTAGTAGGAGACGAAGATTGATGTGTTGGTTGAAATATTCGGAAGAAGTCATTTATTCAGATTTTTACACACCGAAAAAAAAAAAAGAATAATTTTCAAGGCGGGCAGCTATTAACAGAATGACACTATTTACTGACTTAAAAATGCAAGTTTTTAAGAACGTAGTAAACGCATCAACTCCAAAATTCTAATTTTCTCCGTTTCTTCACACAGTGCAAAGGGTCAGTCTTCGTGCGTAATGTCGAATTTATATTTTCCAGGTTTCTTAGAGGCCACAATCTATTTCAGTGAATACCGTTGGCAGAATAACTTAAATTGTATTCACAAACAAGGTTTAAAAAATGGTATGTTCGAGAGGTTGTACTCACGACACAAATTGTTCCAAGGGGCCGCGATCACTTCTTACAGTGTAGGAGTGGAACCACGGAAAGGACGCGATCCGTGCGACGCTCTGGTGCATGGGGG